CTGTACAGTTGTGTTTTCCTGTGTGTTTGTTGGCAAAATCAAAAATTTGATTATTTTTAATTATTAAAAATGCTTGGTTTGTAATTTTTTTTTTTATTAGATCAGATAGCATTTTAAGCTGTTATATGGTGATGTTAAAATGTGCCCCTCATGTTACAATGTTCCCCACCTATGGGGCATGTTGTCACATTTAACATTTCTTTCAGGGTAAATCAAGAAAAAAGTATACACTGTATTAATAAAACAAAACCACATAATTGTTCTAGACATGTGGGATGTTAATGTGGGAAAAAATAAATACTCTAAATAGATTTGCACAAACTGAGAAAGTCAAAAAGCGTTACATTGTGCCCCACTTTCCCCATGTGAGATTCAACACATTCTTTCTGTTGTGTGACTATGGAATTTCTTTGAATTTCCATTAATTTAATTCCACTTCCTGTCATTCCAATCCAAATTCAAATTCAACTTCTTGCGGGGCGGAGTCAATTCAATTCAAATTCCAATTCATGAATTGAATGGACAGACTGATCTCATGAAGTAGCGTGTATATGCCACGCCAATTCGTATTTCCATTTTTGGCGTGCTATCAAAACGCATAATCGCCTTTCAGCGTGTTTATGAACGCCGTTGACTTAACGTTATATAAATATATGACTTACCTCAACCCCGTCCCTAAACCTAACCGTCACTGGGGTTAATGGCATTTATGACTGTTCCCTTACCATCCTAGGTAAAAAAAAAAGATATGACTTACCTCAACCCCATCCCTAAACTTAACCGTCACTGGGGTTAATGGCATTTATGACTGGAGATTTGACTGCGTGTACAGACGCGCGGAATGACGCGTACGTTAATGGCGTAGACATACACGCATACATGCGGATACATGCGGATAGCTTAAAATGCGTAGAGATAACACGCCACCTGACTTGAAAGTGGCGTGTATGTTTACGCAAAAGTCATGATGTCATGTTGGAATGGAGGCCAATTCTGAAATTCTGATTTTTGCATAAGCCTGGTACACATTACATAGTGCAACAGTAGATGCGATGTCAAAGCACAGAGTACAGCACAAGTTACTGTACAGAGCAGACTGTAAGTACACCTACCTGTCTTCCTCCCTGAAAGTTCTGATGATGGAGGCGACGGTGAAGCGACTCAAATTAGGGTGCACTCGTTGCCCAGCCTCCCTCATAGTCATGCCATGGACAAGGACATGATCAACTAAAGTGGCTCTAATTTCATCCGAGACTGCTTGTCTCCTTGCCCTTCCTCCTCCACCTCCTCTACCTCGTCCTTCACCACGTTCTCCTCTTCCTCCTCCACCACCACCACCACGTCCTCTTCCTTCTCCTTCACCACGTCCTCTTCCTCTCCCTCTCCCTCTCCCTCTTCCTCTTCCTCTTCCTCTTCGACCTCTTCCTTCATTTCTTTGTGGAACCATTGCTCCAAAACTCAAATGAACTGACTCTGGCACTTTTATGTATCTTGAAAGTTCTGATTGATGTGTGTTAAATTGTGACTCTAAGTGTTTTCACCTGGGTAATTGTGTGCTAATTGAGCTGAAACTATGCTGACTTGATTGAACAATATTGAATGCTAGTGCTTTCTAAATGACCACATGGTCTAGGCAATGACATATTAAGGGATTTGTAGAGTTTTGCAGTGACAGTTCAACAAATCTGACTCATTTGTCAAAACAAGAAATAGTGTTTATAGTTTAGTGAAATGGGTGTGCTTTTTGATAAATGGCATTATAGTTTTGAAATTTTAGTTCAAAAGCCTGGTTATAGTGTTTAAGCAATTGAGAAAAAACTGTAATATCACTGAGCCAGGGCAGAAGCCAGCGAACTGAATCGCAATCGAGTCTGATGGCAGACGTACCCATGGTGGGGCAGCAAGGTAGAGGACAGGGACCCGACTCGGAAGGCCCGGAGGCAGCCCGAAGCAGGTTCTGAGTGTGATGCATGCCACTTACCTGTCTCCACGAGACGGCCAGGGATGCGTGAGAAGGCGGATAAACGGGCCTCGAACCGCACCCAGCTGCCGTACTGGCGAACAAGAGGGGGTTGAGGGGTGCAAGGCTTTACAGGGTCGCACACTGCCAGACTTCCCCACTTGGAACCCAGGAACAGAGCAATTTGCTCTTTCTTTGAAGTGTGGGTACTGCTTGCTCCACTTCTTCTGGGAGCAAGCGGTGAAACAGAACACACACACCAACAAAGACGTGGTGGAGTCAGCAGCAGGCTGCCGGGCCAGGATGTGCCGGATGGCCTTCATCTGCACTTGGGCTGCAGAGAACTGTTGGACGCAGTTCTCCACCGAGTCACAGACCTCTCCAACCTGGAAAATTGGGGAGACCAGGAACCGACCCTTGTCCGCATTCACCATATCAACTAGGCTGAGCCAAATATGGCGCTGAGGACAGATGAAGTCCGGTGCTCACCTATGAGCGCACGGTCTGGGCTACCCTCGTGCATGTCCATGGGTGCCCTGGCCTGACAGACCTGCAGCAGTGCCAAGGAGGTGCACAAAAGCTTTGTAAACTCTGCCCGTCAGAATGGACGAGAATTCACAGGCCATGGGAGGGGGACAAGAATCCCCCAAAAGGCAGCGGCCGCCAGACACAGGTGCACCTGTGTCATGACAGACCGCTCCAATGAAGGGACACCTCGCAGCCCTTCACCGCTCCTCCATCAAGGGTAGTGAGGGGGAAAAGCTATTCAGGCAGTTTCTGGCAGAGAAAGGTGCCGTTCACCACCTGATAAGCTCTCCATGCATTTCCGAAAAGAAAAGCACTGGGGCGGCGAGCTTAGAACCAGCGTGGCCCGCCCAGAGATACCAACCCTCCAACCGAGACTGAATGGGACACGGTGTAGTTTCCACTTAAGCCCAGCAGCCTTGGCGGCCTGTTTCAGCATAGCTGACATTTCTGGATCTGGCTCGGGCAATGTTACACTTCCAGAGGGAGATAACACAGAGACGTCATCTCCAGAGACCAGCTCACCCTCACATGCTGCCATCAACAACTTATCCTCTAGGGGAACCCCCATTGAAACAGCTGATCGGTACATTATAGAGGGACCAGCATGCTCAAAAGGAATTCTATCGGCTGCGGTGTGATGGAGGAGTGAGGAGCCCACAGGGAATGGTTACCGGGCGAGACATCCATCACTATCCTCCGATCACCCATCCCACACGGCACCTGGGGGTGGGGCATGGTAATGGGGACTCGCGCTTCGCGGACGAAGGCGAGTCTCGATCTCAACACCGCGACAGCCATATTCCCGCAATGAGAACATGAGCCATCCACAAAAGCTGCCTTAGCATGCTGAACATATAAATATATATATACACATTTATATACACATAAATATATAGCTCAAACACGTGATGGTACAATTGTGACTGTCAGAGAGGAAAAGGGAACGACCGCATCCAGAAACGCAAAGGTGGAATGACATCTTAAAAAAGACGCAAACGCACCCGTGTTGCTCTTTCAGGAAATGGCCCCCATTTACCTGTGCCGGAGCACACAGGGGAATGACCGTGCAACACTGAACAGTGAACTGAAACAGTGAAGCACTCACTTTTCTGCCCTCTAACCAGCCGTTAACACATACAAACCCTTAGAAATGTGTTGCTGTTAAAACAGCAGTTGAGAGCTCAAAGCTTGTGATCACCGCTGCACTCGCTCTGTAGAACACCAGCTCTGGGAGAGTCTTCCTGAAGAACACCGACACCCTCGCTCGTTGTAAACAACAGCACTCTTCAGAGACATCAAATCGATCGGCTCCGAAGCGAAAGGCAACTAGTGCGTGCATCCACTTCCGTATTTATACCCGCGCTGTGGGGGCGGAGTGTGTGATGCAAATCACGCACGCCAATTCCATGGGCTTTTCAATAGTACTCAAAGAACATTGGCTCACTTTCGCGTTCCCCATTCAGTCGACCTTCGACTTCGTCTGACGTTATCGACTGAAAGCGAACCGTAATAGAATTCAATGTTTAATAAGGTCGTAGTTTTTGTTTTTTTTTTGGACCAAAATGTATTTTCGATGCGTCAAAACATCCTAACTAACCCACTGATGTCACATGGACTACTCTGATGATGTCTGTTTTCTGTGAAATGTAAAACAAAAATAATGTTTTTGCACATGAAAGCATAGATGTTATCTTTTGTTTTGCTGTAAATTAATCACTAACACTAAACTGACAATAACTTAAGCCACTGGGAGATGGCAGTCATTAACTGTATTGCATTAATAAATATCCTGTTCATATAAAGATTTGAAATACAGTATTTTTTCAAAATTAAGTTTTAACAGTATTTTCCTGCCCTGACTGTGGAGATGGGAACACGTGTGATGTAGCCATGCGCTCTTACTTGAACGTCTCATTTCTAGCATTTAATTGATGAGAAGAACACCAGCCTACAAGCTTAGTTGAGTTTGTTGTCATGGTTTCAGATTAGTTGTCATTTAGTTCAGGTTTGTCTTTAATTATCCTTGTTTGCACATGTACTTAAGTTCCTCTGTTTCTGTTCATTGCTGTTGGGTCTTGTCTGTGTCTAAACATGTTATTTGCTGCCCTCTTTTTGTGGATTACTTGCGTGTGGATTTATTTAAGAGTGCCTTTCATCTTTATCATCATGTTCGTGTACTTTCTACAACACAGCATTATGACACATATAAAACCTTCAAATGTTAACACTTTCATCATTCAAAGTTTGTCTTGACAAATCTCTTTTAGTGTATTAAATTGCACTTAGTTTAAGTTCCTTTTAATGTTACTCCTTAAATTCAATTAGACTCAATTCTGCATCCTTTTTGCTACCTCCATTCAAAATTCATTTTAGATTTAAAAACTTAATTGTAATTTAAAAATGCTTCTAAATTCAGTTCTGAATTGTGCAAAACCCTGCCAGGCACATACAAAAATATGTGCATAAATAAACATTTGCACTTGTCACCCATGAACGCATGTGTGTGCTATAGGCGCAGCTGGAACTGGACTCAGTGACTGTCGAGCGTAGGCAGTTACTCCAGCAATGGAATAACAGCCTTTTAAGGATGAGGAGGAGGGATGAAGCTTACACTGTAATGCACGAGGATCTGAGGTGAACGTGATGCTCATGATGTTTGAGTGTGAATGACCCAGACAACAGTATTGATGTGTATTGACGTCCCTCCTCCAGGCTGGCCAATGATCAGGTGCACTCTCTGGACACAGAGATTGAGGGCTATAAAAAGTCCATCACAAAGGTGGAAGAGCAGAATGAGCATCTCACTCTGCGTCTGAACCGAGCCCAGACTGACTCCACCACCTCACGTAAACTCATCACATACTCCCAGAACCACCAGGAAGTCCTACAGGCCCAGTACAGCACGTATATGCGAATGCTGCAGGAAACAGAGAAGACCCTCAGCACATTGCGTGGGGTACGTCATTCACATAATTCTACTGCACAAATATGGTTAATGAGCACCAGTCTGAAGGTCATATATGGGACCTATGTATTTCTTTCTTATTCAGACCCTCGAGGTGCGTCAGACCGAATTCAAGGCTCTCAGGAAGCAGATGGAGAAAGAGTCTGCAGTGCGTTCGGACCTGGAGGACCAGCTCATGAGCAAAATGCAAGAGCAGCTTACTCACAATAATGCAGCAAAGTACTCACGCCGACTGACTGATAAAACTGTAGGACACAGGAGAGAGAAGGTAGGATGCTGTTAGCTAACCCACAAATGCTCACCACTCATTAAATTATTGTCATAATTGCACATTTAATAATATGTAACTATATGTGCCTCTCATATAACTAAATCTCACTGTGCCAAAAAGAAAATGAAATGAAAACATAAGAGACGTTATTGTCGTTCATTCTAGCAAATAAATGTCACAATTCACTCCAAAATTAAAAGAAAACGAATATGAGATAATATTTTGTAATTTGTATTTTAAAAAAAATAAACCTATTTTAGGACCATTATAGGTTTTTTACACGTTTTTGTGACTTTGTTCCTAACCTCCCACCCCCTGTCATGAATCACTGCTCTGAGAAAGGCAAGTTTAGATCCAAACGCAGCTTTTATTATAATATAAAGGGGTAATCCAGAATCGTGGTCGAACAGCTAAACAATAGGTCAAAGTCCCGGTAGGCAATCCAAACAAACAAAACATACAAGGCAGGGAACAAAGCGAAATACAGAAACCAGGTAAATGCTCAGACATGCAGTGGACACCAACAAAACTTCGCAATGAGTGAGTGTTTGAACATGGAATAAATAGACAGGGACTAACAGGGTGATGAGGTGAATGCAATCAGAGACCAACAAGGTGATGAGACACAGGTGATAATGAGTCCAGGCAGTGTGTGATGGGAAATGTAGTTTTTGAGGAAGTGATCATAGTCTATCCGGAGCACCCTCTGGTGGCTCTCGAGGGCACTCCAGCTGGTGATCGTTACATAGCCCCCACCCAATGAGCGGCTTCCAGACGATCAAAAACTGTCCAGGTGGGTGGTGGCATGGAGGCGGATCCGGGGGCGGGATGGAGGGCCAGGTCCGTGGAGTAGAAGAGGACCTGGAGACTACGGCAGGACGGGAGACCAGGGCTGAGCAGACAGTCCATCGGGCGGCCAGAGTGGAGCAGACAGTACATCGGGCGGCCACGGCGGAGACGACCCCTCGGGCGGCCACGGTGGAGACGACCCCTCGGGCGGCCACGGCGGAGAGGACCCCTCGGGCGGCCACGGCGGAGAAGACCCTTCGGGCGGCCACGGCGGAGACGACCTCTTGGGCAGCCACGGCGGAGACGACCTCTTGGGCGGCCACGGCGGAGCAGTCCCTTCGGGCGGCCACGGCGGAGAAGACCCTTCGGGCGGCCACGGCGGAGAAGACCCCTTGGGCGGCCACGGCGAAGAAGACCCCTCGGGCGGCCACGGCGGAGACCTACTGCCCCCCCCCCCCAAAATTTTCTTGAGGGGAGCTACGGGGACATAGGCTGGAGCAGGCGCCGGCTCAGACACAGTCTCTGGCTGGACGTGGCTGACGTAAAGCGCAGGCTCGGCGTGGCTGACGTGACGAGGCTCTGGAAGCTCTGCTGAGACGTGACGAGGCTCTGGAAGCTCTGCGGAGACGTGACGAGGCTCTGGAAGCTCTGCGGAGACGTGACGAGGCTCTGGAAGCTCTGCTGAGACGTGACGAGGCTCTGGAAGCTCTGCTGAGACGTGACGAGGCTCTGGAAGCTCTGCGGAGACGTGACGAGGCTCTGGAAGCTCTGCTGAGACGTGACGTGGCTCTGGAAGCTCTGAGGAGACGTGACGAGGCTCTGGAAGCTCTGCTGAGACGTGACGTGGCTCTGGCTGGGTGTGGCTGACGTGAGCGATGGTCCTCTTGGTAGCACGAGCTGACATCAGCGGGGGGTCAGCCACGCTGGAAACAAGCCCTGGATGGCCATAGACCGATCCGATGACTGGGTTGATGGTGGGTGTGATGTGGAGAAACTCAGTCCGAGGGGATACTGTGGGTTCATGGAGTTCCTCATCTACCATACCCACCGTATACACTGAACCGCTTAACAGAAGGGCCAGTTCAGTATAGCTCTCTAATGTCCCGTTAGGCTCATGCAAGGGCATGAATGAACTGAGCGGTTCTGATAGCCCTCCTCGGAAGAAGATCATCAGGCAGTCCTGGCTCATAGAGGTGAAAGGTGCTAGCTTGATAAAATCTTCTACGTACTCCTCAATCAAACGATTCCCCTGACGGAGACAGGATTTGGGCTGCTGTGTCCATGGCTGGTATCGCTGCTGGATCTAGGTATGGCGAAGTTTTCTGTCATGAATCACTGCTCTGAGAAAGGCAAGTTTAGATCCAAACGCAGCTTTTATTATAATATAAAGGGGTAATCCAGAATCGTGGTCGAACAGCTAAACAATAGGTCAAAGTCCCGGTAGGCAATCCAAACAAACAAAACATACAAGGCAGGGAACAAAGCGAAATACAGAAACCAGGTAAATGCTTAGACATGCAGTGGACACCAACAAAACTTCGCAATGAGTGAGTGTTTGAACATGGAATAAATAGACAGGGACTAACAGGGTGATGAGGTGAATGCAATCAGAGACCAACAAGGTGATAAGACACAGGTGAAAAAAAAAAACTACATTTCCCATCACACACTGCCTGGACTCATTAGAGTCCAGGCAGTGTGTGATGGGAAATGTAGTTTTTGAGGAAGTGATCATAGTCTATCCGGAGCACCCTCTGGTGGCTCTCGAGGGCACTCCAGCTGGTGATCGTTACACCCCCAATCTTATTTGTGTTAGGTATCTGTACGTTACTTCTCAGTCCACACCTCCCCTGTATTAGTGTATTACAGTAAAACAAATATTGAGATTATTTTTCAGCATAAATTAATGGCAATACAACAAACCCTGCCATGATGTATAAAAACTTTACAATTTAATCTATCATCATTATTTAAACATTATAGTAATTACAACTAAGTCTATTAAAGATGTTATCTTCCCCAATTTGAGAATGGCGCTAACAATGCCCCAAGAACTGATCAAATGTTTTCTTTGAATGCAGTCTAAGTGTCACAGGTTGTTGTAGGCAAAAGAGAGGTTTAAGGTGAGGATCTAAATGCAGCGGTCTTCATTAACCAAAACTAAAAACTCTGGAACACTAGAATGCAACAGGAGCAGAGGAAACAGAAAGTGCTCCTTTGCAGAAAAACAAACCAACCTTGACAGTGACAATAAAGGACTAAGAACTGAACTAAAGAGGGTATATATATATATATATATATATATATATATATATATATACATACACTGCTCAAAAAATAAAGGGAACACTAAAATAACACATCATAGATCTGAATGAATGAAATAATCTTATTAAATACTTTTTTCTTGTTTTTACTTCTAAGTGTTGTTCCCTTTAATTTTTGAGCAGTATATATATATATATATATATATATATATACCATGATTTTGAGGTGTAATAGGACCTGAATGTGTTCTTGACAGGTTCCATATAATTCAAACTTGTACATTGTATGTGATTTCTTAGGAGGCTCAGTTAACTAAATTGGAGAATGACATCAACACAGTAACACTGGAGGGGCAAGAGGTAGTGACACATCTGGATTCTCTTGTTGCATTTCAAGCTGAACTTGAGCAGGAAATGAGCCAGCGACACTTGCTGCTGTCTTCTCGTGAGACAGAGATTGCTAAACAAGTCACAGAGATTGAGCGAAAGCAGTCCACAATCAGCATCTACAACAAGAAGATCAAGGATATTGTGTCCAGTACTGGGGTTAGACCACACATTTCACACTCAGTTCATGTTTAATGTATGGATGTTTTGAAAAAGACATGAACCTCCCTTTTCTCTAATGATCACAATAAGTCATCATTGCATCCATCTAGACTATTGCATGAAAAAGACATGAACCTCCATTTTCTCTAATGATCACAATAAGTCATCATTGCATCCATCTAGACTATTGCATTCCATATTGTAGTTACTGTAGATACTGCATATTTACACTGTCAACTATGTGTGTAAGAGCAGCATGAAGACCTAGGTCCTCTGGAGATCCATGCAGCCACCTTGTCTAAGGAGCTGGAGGAAGTTGGTGCTGACATCAAAGAGCAGCAGCAGTTGTGGCTTTGGCAGCAGGGGGAGTTAGTGAGATTCACTCAGGAAAAACAGGCCCATGGCTCTTCTGTACAGATCCTACGAACACAACTCACAATACTGCAACAGAGCAAGATCAGGAAAGAGAGTAGGTACCACTTTTCACACATAAATACACACTATTCTCAATCAATTCTATTCTATTCTAACCATTAACTATTCTATTCTATCAATAGTTACTAGTTCACTAGTTGTATTAGTATTAGTTTTTGTATTAGTATTAGTATAATAATAATGATGATGACTTTGAGTTTCCTAACAGGTAGTAGTTATATTCTGTGTGGTATTAAAAAAGCAGCTTAAATCATAATTAAAGGGATAGTGTTAAAAAAAAGACCTTCATGTTATTCCAAACCTTTATTACTTTCTTTTGCATAATAATATATTTCAAATATCTTTTTTTCTTTACAGTCCCCCCCCCCCCCCCAAAAAAAAAATATATATATGTTAGATTTACTATTACATAATTCCATAAAAATTATTTGTGACATATTAAAGATTTATTGCACAGAAAAAATTAGCATGAGACCGCAATTGCAAAAAAACGCGGATGGGAGTGGAAAGTTCAGAATGATCTACTGACGACATGCAAATTAAAGAACACAGACGCAGCCATTTCATTTCCATAATGACAAACGCAATCACTAAGTCTGGGCTAAGACATGCTTTTTTGGGGCGGTAAATAATGGCGCAAACACCATTAAATTGGCGAGCACAAACCTTAATAAATCACCTTGCATGATAATTTAAATCTAAATCCTCCCGTTCCATTTTTGCATCTGAAAGGGAAATCTCAACCGCAAAAATAACTGTGTCCATGCCTTTTCAGCGCTAATGTTTCACTGCGTGACTTTTGTATTAATATATGAAGAGTTCAGATGCAAAAGCCTCTAAATGCCATTTGAAATTTTCTTCTTTAATGATGATTTTTATCAAACTTGTATATTTAAGTTTAGTAATTTCACTAAAATGGCAATGATAATTGCCTATTAATTGTTATTTAAGTGAAATTAATGAAATAAATATACAAGTTTGATAAAAATCATCATTAAAGAAGAAAAATTCAAATGGCATTTAGAGGCTTTTGCATCTGAACTCTTCATATGTACCTTTATTTTACCAGGAAATAATCTCATTGAGATTCAAAATCTCTTTTTCAAGAGAGTCCTGGCCAAGACAGCAGAATAGTAGTTCAATTTTTTTTTTTTAAATGTATGTATATATATATATATATATATATATATACATGCATACAAACATTTGACAGAAAAATACATTTGGCTATTTAACATCATCTCAACATAATCACCAGCAGCGCTCAGTGACAGCACATGTGCATTTAGTACTCAAATAGTCCTTTATCCCAATTTTAAACTGGTTCATTGTCGATAAATAATCAAATTTTAGCTGGATCTGCTATTTATACCAGAAAGAAGGTGCAAAAACTTTAAAGGCACTTTCACCAAAGACAGTTCGTGTTCGTGGGATATCATACATGATTTGCCCGTATGATCGAAGATTACATTTCCTGGTAGTGTGTTTAGGAGTCAGAAGAGAACATAAGAAAGAAGGCAGTTCACAAAGTGTGGCCTTAAAAAGAAAAATATACCAGTGCTCTAGCCTGCGAATGTGCAAAGATGGCCAACCAACACTCTTATACAAGCTACAATGATGAGTCTCAAAATTAGAATTAGTTACAAATCTTAGTGTAATCATGATGTAATGAATCCAGCATTTTTAAAGAAGATTGATTTACATGCATGTATAAAATATCACCATAATCCAGCATTAACCTAAATGTTGTTTTTATAAGTGTTTGTCTTGCACTAAAAGAGAATCAGCCTTTGTTTCTATAATAGAAACCCAACTTTACTTTTTTTTGTTTGTTAAACACTCTATATGCTGTTTGAAGGAAACATTTTCTTCAAAAAGGAAACCAATATATTTATAGATTAATACTCGTTTTGTTACTTTCTCATCTAGTGTAAAAAACTGACATGCATCTTCTGTTTTCCGATTTAGAAAAGCACATCATTTTAGTTTTATCTGAGTTTAGTACAAGTCTCAATTTATGAAGATTCTAATTTTAAAAGCAGATTGCAGATCTTCTATGGCACTTGATGGGGCAGAACAATACAAAACGGTATCATCCGCATTAAAAATTACACTTTGCTTTTATTACGTTCTGACACAAGTCATTTATATAAATAGTAAATAAAATAGGACCCAAAATGGACCCCTGGGGGACACCATTTTGTATAAGTAATAAGTTTGAGGACACACCATCAACCTGAACACTTGTTGCCAAACCATTTGACAGTTTTTAGAGAAATTTTAATCTATAATAACCTTAAAAAGCAGATAGCTTAGATATTGGCCTATAATTATTTAGATTTGATCGGTCACCAACCTTTAAAGTAGTGACATATGCTGACTTCAATACACTCTGTATTAATCCAGTTTCAATAGCCAGTTTTGTCCCTAGACAAAGAGTAGTCCTCTTGTCTCATCTGTTGTTGTGTTGCATGCTCAAACAACGACCCAGAAGATATTGTATCATTCAGCTTCAATATATTTGACATGACAGTATCCTTTAGAGTCAGAAGACAGTGATTTATAACTTTCCAAAATTTAGAGGGCACATTTGTTTCTCAGGTGCCTAAAATGTTGCCAGTCTGAGATATTTTTGGAATTCGATCATACAATTTCTCTGAAAACTATGGATTATTATCACTCCCTTTAATCTTATATTTCCTAAAAGGAGCATGCTTCTTTATTATGTCCAAAAATAATAATTTAAAACATTGCAATGCTATTTTGTGCTCCGGTATCAAATTCTCCCTGGTCCAGTCACAAAGATTAAGATCAATTAAAAAAGCTTGTTCACAGAATGAAATTTACATTTCGATATCCTGATATCTCTCACACCAGCAATAGTCAAGTCAAGTCATCCTCATTTATATAGCGCGTTTAACAATGCAGATTGTTTCAAAGCAGCTTTACTGAGAAAAACGTAATAATTTAAGGTAACAGAGATTGGTTTGGTTTTATAGTGGTTCTTGAATAATGTTATTTTCCAGCTAAAATTAGTTTTGATTGATTCACTTCCGTTGAACTGATCATTTGTTGATCAACGTGAATCTGTGATAAATGCTGATGGCGTTCACATGCGCATTAAAGGTGCATTGCGCAACATTTCATGTTAAAAATAGCCGTTTTCTAACCCATACATGCTTAAACAATCGCCTGATGAGCTGAATGAGCCCTTCTCTGATCACTGAGATCGCCTCTATAATCCTGTACAGTGAAATATATAAGAGGGATTCGGGCTCGAATTTGAGACTGGGCGTGACGTCATGCGCGTTCACGCTCGTGTGGCTATGTGCCTATGTCTGGCAGGTTCGTGTAGCTATTTGCCGCCGTTCTCCGTATCAGAGAAGACAACTCGAGCGACACAACTCTAGTCAGTTTTCCATAAAAGTAGACGATGGATTCAAAGGGGCTGTTTACACCTGGTCACTTCATGCGTTTTCTGTGATCGGATAGCTATTAGATCGTGAAAAGACCAGGGTGTAAATGCCCTCCGAAACGCATTTAGAGACGGATTTGAATCCGATCGCTCAAACCACTTGAGGACGTGGTCTGGGCCACATTCCAGACGAAACTGGACAAGTGTAAATGCATCTGGTTGTTGAAACCAAGCTATATGTCATGATATTTTAGTCATATATGACGACGCGCATCACCTCAGATGAGCAGCTGAGCTGAGCCCCTTTATCAAGCCAGCGCGCTGCAATCTATCGTAAATCAAAGTGAAAGTAAGTCGCAGTCTTCATTAAAAGTAAAGAAATGTAATGATCTTACCACCAGGCCGGTTGCCGATCTCTCTTATTTTCTCGCTGTCTTTGCTGATTTTGAAATTAGCCGATGATTAATAAAATGCAGCTCATCTGTTGCTTTCGGTGACGTGCACTTCATTAAATCCGTAGCGCGGAAAGAGACCGGCTTGTAGTTCATTCCAAACCCCAACGCAAACTCCACGTGAGACAAAGAAAATAAAACTTCTGTATGTCCAGTGCCAGTCGTCGGAATAAGACGAGAGTCAACATCGGGAAGGCTTTCAACAAACGGAGAGATCTCCGGTCGGCTCCAGGGCTCAAACGGGTCCTATACAAAGTGATAACTGAACGTGTTTCCATAATAATTCAATCATAAGTGGATACAGTAAGCACATGGAGATAGATGGAAATAAAAACCGAAGTTTTCTACTACCCCCGTTTTCCCCATCTCACACACATAAGTGTTTAATTTACTTGAATGCCTTTCCTTTCATATATTTTAAATGACTTGCAGATTTATTACTGTACCTCATTATGACTGTAACAAAAGATGTGTGCCGCACACTTGCTCCTTTGGTTATGAACAGCTCGTGCAAACGTGTGTGTGTGTTCCTCCATGAACGCGCACAGCTCTGGTTGCAGTTTCGCTTGTCGCCAGAGGGGGCGTAGTTCTGCAAAAACTCAGATACTTGCGTTTAGCTCCTTTAAGAATGGGCTATATGCACGCATAAATTCCGCATTTGACGCAAGGATTCTCGTCCATTTCCGGTTGTGGAGATTAAAGCGGAGGAAAACCGAGGAAAACGGGATTATGGCAGAGTCTTCAAAATGTACTGTCCTCCAGTCTTTGAAATGAAACGTACATACGTTTAGATGTAATTTTATATATAGTTATATTTATTTAATATAATTATTAAATTATTTAATATAATTTTAAAAAGAAGCATAAACACAACGAGGGGTGTCTGTTTTATCTGTTTTTGTGACTAACGTTTCTTTAGTATAACCATGGAGTATAAAATTTAATATAAATTCTCGGTATTGCATTGGACTCTACGATCAGCGGAAGTTATCGAGCATCCTTACACCTTCACCGGAAATACCGCCGTGCATAGAGCCCATTGATTATATAGTTATGTGCGTTTAAATCAAGCGTGCCGTAAAAGCCCTCAAAAGTGAAGCCAAAACGTCTCGATCGCCCCCCTGTGACCGGTCCTAGTATAGCTCATAACCCCCACCTCCTCATGTTATTCAATGGGACGCGAGACCAACTAAACAATTAAATTACACTTCACATATCCTTTTTCCAAAGATATTTTCTGTCATTTACTGTAGTTTCTATCACGTTGATGTAATTTCATGTGTTCGTTTTTAAAATAAGTTTGTTTTTAGTTAGTTATGTGATGATAAAATAACAGTGCTCTGACATCATGATTGACAGCTGTGATTGACAGGTAGTCACTGAAGCACCAGCGGACTTTTTTTAATAATGTTGATTATGTGGTTAGTAGTTGTATTTACCTTATTTTAACGAGGTTCTGCAATCAGCAGACATCATTGGAGAAGAACGAAGCAGACAGAGGACACTTAATGACACTTAATGAAAGTGCGGGGTGTTTGATTCAGCGAGAATGCTTACGTTTGGTTCAGACCTTTTTACCATTTGTCCAAAGAGAACAAACAAAGCTCAAAGTAATAAAATGAGTCTGATAAATAAATTCATTATTGATATTATCCTCTGTGTATGTGTGTTGGTTATATTTATTTATATAAGGTGAGATGGAGCAGGAGCAGCGCGAGCAGACAGATCTGGATAAACAAATCAAAGCTCTTATGGCAGACATGGTAAAACTGAACTCTCTGCTCAGTAAAAACAGCGATCTGAATCAAGCCCTGCAACAGAGCAACAGTCTGATGGAAACAGAGTTCAGACAGAGACTCAAGGTACAACTCTACACACTGTGTAGCTTAATGTGGAAATTCAGGCCTTTTCCTTATACACTGTGTTTTTTTCTGTATTCCTCTGTTCTTATTATTTTCATTTCGTCATCTGTAATATGTCACACACTTCAGTAAGAAAGAACTGATATTCCTTTGGGATTTTGTCTATTTACTGTATAACAATAAAGGGCAGGTATATACTAGATAGTAAATCGTGTATACCTGGATACCTTTTTTTTCAGTGTATACTAAATACACAAAAGATCAGCAGCTATGTAAATGCTAATCAGTAGTAATGTAAACACAATACAACATGTTCTATTCTATAACACACATAAAACTTGGTAGAATATTTATCAATGAAAATTTTGAAGTTTAAACACGATTTAGCTTCCCATTCTGTTATAGAAGACATTTAGCAGAGTTTAATTAGGTTATCACGTTATTTCAAGTACTTCTGAAGACCTTGATTAAGTTATGTTTAAATAGGTGTGGTGCTAAATTCTGCAGCACAGTGATCCTTAGAAGTTAGAGTTGAGAATCCCTGATGTAAACCGACATGTATTTATCACTCGCATGATTTAGGCTCAATCGCAATTCACCCCTTGGCCCTACCCCTCCGTTTTGCGCGTTCACGTCTAGGGGTAGGTAGGGTGTCCCGATTCTTGTTGAGATCGAGGGGTAGGGCAAAGGGGTAGGGCTACATAGCCCTCGAAAAGGAGATTTTTCAGATGCACACTCCAAACGGAGGACTACGAGAAAGTTCACGGAATGCATCGCAAATCACCGGCGGGATGGCTTCGCAAGCGGTTAAACATTTAAATTTAGCGCCAGATGATTCCACCATGCATTTTCTTTACTCTTACAATAACACTATAGTCGTTTAAATTAAGAAATGGTATAATAAATTACCTTTCCGATCAGAAAAGACATACATTTCGAGGAAGGGTTGTTATAATCATCATGTTTATTCAAAGTTAAGAGCAGCTGCGCTGATTATCAGTTGTTGTCATGGAGAAATCCTGTAAAAACTCTGTAACGGCATGGCAGAGCCTTCGCCGACGACTGATGATGTATCGGGTTCATGAAGGGTTGTTCCATTTCGTAGGGGAATATTTCAACCCTTTGGCCCTTGTAACTCTGTTTTAAGGGCCAAGGGGTACACTCGAAATGAAGGGGTAGGACCAAGAGGTGAATTGGGATTGAGCCTTATTGTTAAATTAGTCCATGAGCCAGGGCCCCAAATTTGGTCCATCGATATCATGGAGAGGGACAAAGTCTCATAATGATTTTTGGCAAGGTATACACCCCTAGTACTAGAAAAATCACGATAGCAGTGCAGGGGTGGTAACGATATCACTTTTTCCAGCTCATGAAGTTACTAACCCCCTAAAATAAATTCAGTTTTTGAAATCTGGTGTATATCTGGTTTAGGCTCATGCTAGGGATATTGGCAATATTCTATAATATGGTGCTTGGTATCGTTGGAAAGGAGGCCTTTTAGGCTTTTATTTAAGCCCAGTAATGAATCTGTCTGACAAACAGAGAGGTCACATGACTTCTTTAAACCAGACATAACACTAGGGATGAGCGAGTACAGCATTATCTGTATCTGTATCTGTATCTGTTAACCATATGAATTATCTGTATCTGTATCTGTACTCGGACTGGGCGGGGCCTAAACCCGGAAGTGGGTCGGGTAGTCTTGAAATGGGCGGGGCTTTAACCGGTATGTTATTTTAAGCATGCAATTGATATGGGTTGATCTGAAATTGCTTTATTTTTTGCTGATAAGAAATAAAACTATTTACATGACAGCATCAGCATTGAGCTTCAGATCAATGGTTTTGATCACGATAACAAACGAACTACAAAACAAGTTTTGCAACAATGAATACAACACATGTGGCTGCAATTATGAAGTAAAATGTAATGAACAAGAGTATTCATCTCAACTACGGCTGGGTGATATGGACCAAAAGTCATATCCCAATATATTTAGGCTGAATTTCGATATACAAAATATATCCCGATATTTTTTCTGCAAAGTGAGAGCAAATGTTCAGTCAAAGCCAAATATGACATGTCACAAGTATAGTTTTATTGAAACTTGAACATTTGCCAAAACCAAATGAATAAAATAATTAACAGGTTTCTTCACCTTAGGGCTGCATGATTAGCAATGACAAAAATCTTCATTGCAGATTATTCCTTGGAATTGTAATTGTGATTTATTAATTGGTTTATTTATTTTTGTTAATACAACGTTGGTATGAAGCCATTACAGTCATTTAAAAAAATATAAAAAATAACACAAGAAAAATAGGGGCATTAAGGGGTTAATATAGAAACGACAGTTACTAAGGTGAATAGTGAATACACAATACTAACAAGAACTGTTTATGAAACATGGAAACTGCTCTGGTGAATAGAATGAAAATCATAACTGCATTGCTTTTATTTCGTGTAATTTTACAACGTAACGGTGTTGCAATGCTCGTATAGTTTCTTTTTGCACTTTATACAGAGGCGATCCACAGCGCGCGCAGCCGCATTTGCGCGTGCAATTGAGTGTGCGCTACGACTAACGTTACAGTATAACGGGTGACAGGACAGAAAGTCCGTTTTGCTGAGGTGAAAGACTTTATTTCATAACATAACATGCTTTAATCAAGCACGCAAAGTGGAAAAGGAGTGGCTGGGGCGCGGGGAGCAGTGCAGAGAGCTCTGGATCAGCACTCTTGCAGCTTGCTTGGAGCAAGGATCACAGCGCAAACCTGAATAGCCTATATCGGTATGCAATATGGTTTAATTACATATCACATTTAAAAATATATATATATTTTTATATTGATATATCGCTCAGCCTTAATCTCAACATAACTTTTTTTTTTTTTTTATCCGAGCACAGATATTGACTCGTATTACTCGTATAATATTCGTACTCGACAAAAGTGCTTTATCCGTACCGGATACTCGTTTCAGCCGAGTATCCGGCTCAACTCTACATAACACACATTTTTTTCACAATTTCCGCCTAAACTGTATGCTTTCTTTTATCCCTGTGGCATGAAAGAACACCATGGACACAAAACTCAACAACTTCAATACTCAAGGCACTCTGATGACTCAGATGTATTTATAATATACCCATACTATTTATTTGTGAGAGCCTTATATTATACTTGTGCAGCCAGCAAAAATAGAGCCAATAAAATGGAAAAATAGTATACCTTATTAGTCCAGGGCCAAATGGCCTATTTATTCATGTACAGTTGTAATAAAAAGTAATTGTTTCATTCAACATAATCAACATATCAACATAACACTTATAAATGGTTTAACAAAATGTTTCTATCATGTATTTTTTTTATTCACCCAATTTCAGTTAGAGTGTCAGAAAATAGCTCATGCACGGAATGTTGATGGATCTTCACAGTTTGACAAGGTTTTGTCAGTTTTGTGAAAAGTTTGTTGGCTCAGTTGACTGGTTACAACAACACTACCAACTATGCAATCTTCCATCAACTTCCATTGAGTTCCAGGGGTTAAATGTAAAATTTAAGTTGTACAAAATGTAAATTAAAAGTAAAATTTGTATTTTGTGCTTGTGAACTGGTGGGGAATAGTAGCTAATGTGCTAACATGCTAATTGTGTCGCATGCCTGGGTTCCGCCCATACTCAAGCTGCACTGAGGGCATGCCCATCGCAATGTTGCTGTTGCGGCTCGCTCTCTCCCAAGATGCCGATGCCGCTCCCCCTACTCTTCCTTTCCCCGCCCTCATGTGGCCCGGGAAAAAGAAGCGCCGCAGGCAGCGTCAACTGGAGGTGATGGTGATTAACGAGCCCACACCGGCCACGTCCCCACGTGCCTCGTTTTCTCCTACATCAACGCCATCCCCGGTTCTGTTCGAGGGAGGCCTATCGCTGCTTCTGAGGAGGATTGGTTGGGCTCTGTGGACCCTGCATCTCTTCTCAGTCTGGCGCCAGCACCGCAGCCACCGGGACTCTCGCTGGACGCGCTTTCGCCGGCTTTGGCCAAGCTGCTTCGGCCCTGCACACAATGGCGGGGTTGCAGGTCTACCAGGCCAAGCTTCTCCAATCTATGGACGAGACTGGCCCGGAACCCGAGTCCTTCTGAGACCTGAGGAGTGCCACGGACCTTGCTTTACGGGCTACCAAAGCTACAGTGCAAGCCTTCGGGAGGAGTATGGCGAACATGGTCGTACTGGAGCGCCACTTGTGGCTCACGCTCACGGACATCAAGGAGATGAATAGAACGGCGTTCCTCGGCGCCCCGGTAGTGAAGTGCCTGGCAGTGAAGTGCTTCTCCGAGAGGTTCACTGAGGCTCAAGTCATTCCAGGCGAGGCTACACTTCCTCCCCAAGCGTTCTAGCTCGTCCTCGAGCAGGCCCAAGTCCGACGCCTTCTCCTTAGCGAGTGAAGGCCGCCTAGCAGGACACTCAGCCCCGCCCTGCGGCAGAAGCCCGCCAGCCCACTAAGCAAGCTAAACGCCATCTGCAGGCCTGGTGCCAGGGTCCTCGTCCCAGCTGCATGTCGTATCCTAGGCCTCCGGCTTCCTCCTAACATCGAGGGGGGAAAGGGAGGGCTCATGTCTCTCGCTAGCCGTGATCACCCTCAAGAGCCCCCAAAAAACTTTTCACAGCTCCCTGTTTAGTTCAGGCGTTTGGGGATTTTACTACTGTAAACAGGCCCACTGCACGCGCCTTTGCAAACAAACACAGTTTTCATGGTGGCCCAAATAAAGCACAAAAGAATATGTTTCAAGCAAGGGTTCAAGCACGGGTTCAGGCGTCAGCTTTTTAGTCCAACACTCAATATGTGCACAAATCACAATATAAGGGTATTTATATTTTGTTAGGCAGCCTGTCCCAAAACCCGTCAAACCCTAGCCACATATGCCCTAGCCCATACCCTGTGTGTCGAGTTGGGTTAGAAACACAATAAAGTGAGGCTACTCGCTCCTATTCGCTTGTAGACC